GGTTGGTTGGTTGGTTGGTTGGTTGGTTGGTTGGTTGGTTGGTTGGTTGGTTGGTGGTGGGATAGTGGTGGTGGTGTGATTTTTTGTTGTTGGGTGTGGGGTTGTTGTGTTTTTTAGGAGAGGGTGAATTTTATTCTTCCTTTAAGGAGGGGGGGGGGTGTTTTATGGGTATACGGGAGTTGAAAATATTAAATATATTCAAATTTCTAAGGGAAAGGGCTTTCTGTGTGCGCCAGCACCTTTTATATATATTTAAGAACATATTTCTCTGTGAATTTTACTGGGAAAAATGACAGAAGGCACAAAAATATGTAAATTTGCTGTTCCCAAGGACTCTTATGCTTTTAAAAGTCACGAATTTTGGTGGCCGTTTTGTCGCTAATGTTACGTCTGACACCAGGCAATCCCCACTTTAAATCGTAAATGTCTTCACTTTCACTCACTCAAGATAGAAAGGTATTTTTTTCATCCAAAGCAAGACAAATGAACAAGCTTTAAGATGCTTTCAATCAACCCATAAGCCCAAACACTGACGAGCGCCTGATTCCATTGTGTCGTGATGCTGTAGAAGGTCTGCTACTTCGTTACTGCTGGATTTTTATTTTAAAAGACAGTATATCCAGTTCTTTGTTCAAATGTGAAGTCAGTCCTGTTATATGGATGTCAGACATCGAACGCATCACAGAAGAGGATCCAAGTTTTCTTGAACAAGTGTCTAAGAAAGTTACTGAGGATCAGATGGAAAGAATGGGTCACACACGAGGGAGTGTTAACAAAAACAAGACAGATCCTTGTCAGAGAAGAGGTAGGAAGAAGGCGGTGGCGATGTATTGGACATACTCTCGGGAAGTCAAGCAGCTGCATAACAAAAGAAAGTCTTAGTGTTAGATTGGAATCCACAGGCTAAAAGATCAAAGGGAAGACTACATGGAACCTGGAAATGGCCTATAATTCGCTGTAATTATCGCCCCCTCCCCTTTTCCCTTTTCTCCTGACCCCCCCCCCCTTTCCTCCCCCATTATGTCACCATTGGTGTTACCCCCCGAAAGAATAAGATTTTACTTTAAAACATCGACTACAGCCCCATCTTAAGTGGTGCGCGGGACTTCCGTGGACACTTTTTTAGCTGAGTGAACCATCTTGTAGTGTATGATCTTTGTTTAAAAAACGTTCATTTCTACATTTGTCTGGTATCATTATCTTAGTGCATAGGGCGGGGAAATTGCTCTGAAGAAACTGGATATATGGTCTTTTAAGATAAAACTCCACACTGCTTGTCAGGGTCCACCTGGGCTGAGTGTATACAACATCTCAGATGACACATGGACAGCCTTCTTCATTACGCTACTCGGGTGCTCATTGCTCTATTAGACTGATCCAACACCACCACCCCACCCACCAGTAATTGTTTTTCTCTATCTATCTCTTCCGCTAATGCCGTCAATTTTACTATTGGTTGAAAGTAAGTGTTCGAGGCCTTTGGGTCAATTCAAGAGTTCGAAATATCGCAATACTCTCTTACTAATTGCTGTTGTTTTCTTCTTATCAATGAGATTGCAATAATTGTAGCAAACCCCCAGATTCCCTCTCTCGATAACCAAACTAAGACTTTCTCTGTGTTTCTGCGAAGAGCGAAAACACTACACCATATACACCGATATGCTTTCGTCGACTCTAGACCAGACATTGTTTCCAAATACGGGCATACCGCCAAAGATTACACAGAAAACAGAAACATGAAAGTCAAAAGTAGATGCGGGAGATAGTTAGAGTAACGTGATTTTTCTCACACTAATTCACGAACATAAGGACTTACAAAACAACCTTGTATGAAGTCAGGGGACTGTAGAAGCGAGAAGGACAGAGGAGGAGACAGACAGGAGGCCAGTTACTGGCGGTCAGATCTGGGTCTGCGTGAAGCACTGATGGGGCCAGAGAATAAACAGAGAGGGCGGCAGAGAGTGGGCGTGCTGTGATGTGGGGCCTAGTTGACAATTCATCTATAGATCCCCAATATTCAATCTATTTTACAAAACGTACAAATTCAAGACATTTTGGTAAACGTTTCACGGTTTTTGCAAGTTCATAAGGTCATATGAGCGCGCTGGACACAAATTGGTTGTTTTGACAATAGAATAGTTCAAGATATACACACTGTTAAGTTGTTGCCTAAGGTGTTCAGCAATTCAAGATTTATAGACAAATAAGTTTTGAAGGGTCAATTATTAAAGACATGCACACGGTTACATTGTTGGATAATGGGTTCAGAAATTCAAAATATACACACTTTTAAATAATTGGCCAATTTGTTTAGAAATCTGAGATATACATACCGTTGCATCAGTGCCGAAAGAAGCCAAGGCAACACGAACGGAATCATAGCCCACGTTGAAATGTCCAATAACGTCTGCTATAAATTTCTTGGATTGTGCATATGGAATGGTAGAAACGCTCCCTGATCCGTCGAGGACGAACGCCATGTCTAGCTCGTCAGTCGTACAGTCTAAACAGAGGGGAGAAACATGGAACGTTTTGGTCTTATATTTAAAAAATGTGCAAGAGATAAACAAAAATACATGCCGTAACAACTTAACTCTTGTTGCTGTTTTTGCAGTTTTTGGTGATGTCGGTGGCAGTTTATTTGTTAGGCTCATCATCAAGTGTCAGATCTGAGACAGACTCCGGTGATCATGGTTCTCCATTCCTTTATTTGTTCGCATAGTTTTAAAAAAGTTACATTACCCTGATCTTTCCTCGTCACCAGTCCGTTTAGACTCTCCAAATTAGTTGTTCAGGGTTTACCCTTGCCTCGTTTACCTTCAATTTTGCAAATGAAAGCTAGATTATAATTTTTATTCAAGGCCTTTATGTCTGTTCAAGTGTCCCAAAAATTGTATATTCTTTTCCTGATTGTTTTTTTTAATCCGCAAGCGGCCCATGTAGGCTTCTTTGAGTACTTCTTCATTTGATTTCTTTTCCTTCCAAGAATATCTCAGCAGTATTCTAAGAAAATCTCAAGAAACCACATCTTTGTCGCTTCTGTTTTATTTTCCACTAATTCTATCCATTGCAATTCCTCGGTTGCTTTTTGTGGAACATTTGCCATTAGATGGAATTATACGAGTATATCCTACATACCTAAACTGTTGAACTTGTTCGACTAACTTGCCTTTGCTTTGGAGATTACAAATAGGATTAACTACTTTTTCCTATTACCATGCATACTATTTTCTTAACTCTCAACTATAGCCCTTTAGGTTCACTGCGTTCTGGTTAGGCTACTGCTCCTGTAATTGTGACATTGCGGGTTCAGGGGTTCGAGCCATAGCTCAGTTTAATGTAGTGTCCTTATGAAAGGCACTTTAGACGGAATTCCTTTTTGGCTCGTTCTTTTCTGAAAAGGACGCCCCGCCTCTTAAATGATTTAGCAGTGTTGATAAGGGCGTTAAACCTATACTATTTCCTAAGTTGCTGGTTGTTTTGACTCATACTGAGAGGATGCATCTCCGCCATGTCATTTTTGAAAGGGCTCGACGAAGACAGACAACTTAATATTATGCTTTAAAATTCTTTCTTTTGGTATGTGTTTTACGGCGCTCGCAACTGCATACGATCATATGAACGTTCGGGACACACCTAACATTTTCAGTTGGTAAGAAATTTTAAATTTTGCCCAGGTGGCGACCGAAGCCTACTCTTGTCAATTTTGGAGCACCAAGGGATTTTTAACGTGCGCAACTTGACTGTTACGTCCATATTATAAGAAAAATCGTTTCCACTCCAATGCTTGGTGCATATGACCACAGGGGGCGTGGCAATGTATGTCCCCAGAAAAGTGTGTTCCTCTTCATTATCGACAATGTTTCGCCTCGCTGATGTCAGAATTGGCTGGTTCTTTACTTCTAATCTAAGTTGTTTGTTTTAGTTTTTAGTTTTAGTAGAGGTTTTACGGCGCTCGCAACTGCATAAGGTCAAATAAGCGCCAGAAAATTAGAGTTGTTACAAGAGAGTAACAAACATTTAAAAAAAGAAGGGGAGATAAGGATGATAGATGTTCGATAGGAAAGAAGGAGCAAACCACACCAGAGCACCCGCCAACCACCCACAAGTTGTTTGTGGGTGGCTCTCGTGGCCTAGAGGTTAAAGTGTTCGCCTCTCATTCAAAGGCCCCAACAAAAACAAAGTAGAAAAAGCAACAGCATCATGGTAAAACATGCTTCCTGTAAACTCTAAAATTGTAATTCATTCTTTCATTCATTCATTCATCCAGTGCCAGATCTGCGACAGACATCGGCGATCATGGTTTTCCATTCATTCCTTTGCTCGGATGCTCTCAAAAAAGCTACGTTTACCTGATCATTCCCTGTTAACCTTTTGTTTAGGTTCCCAAATTATGTTGTTCTGGGCCTACCCCTGCCTCGTTTGCCCTCAATTTTGCCAGTGAGAGCTAGATGTTCAAGACCCTTATGTCTATTCAGGTGTCTCAAAAACTGCATTTGTCGTTTCCTGATTGTATTTAACATTGAGCGTCCCACGTGGGCTTCATCAAGCACTACCTCATTTTATTTATTTTCCTTCCACGATACTCTTAGCAGTCTAAGATTGTAATAAATTACAGAAATATCTGTTTTTCTGCTACTTTGATAAACAAAAAAACCCATATCTCTTGAAGTATAAGTATAAGATGAGACGGGTTCAAACTTCTCATCAGTGGCGAAGCGTCTATTTAATCAAATAAGCGCTGCTTCCCTTCCTAATTTTGAAACATTGTCGCAGTCAAATTCACCCACAGACGTAAACCTCATAAATTAAATGTAAAAAGACGTTCATAATCACCAATGAACAATAGACTATGCCTAACCTTCAAACCCGTTTCATTGCCACAGAAATAGTCATAAGCAGTCACAAGCTTTGATTAAGTAAGCTTAAAGAGTGGCTGGAAGAGTCTACCAATAGAGTTGAAGGGAACATGTGCATAGCAGTCAAAACTGTTTCATTGCCACATATAACCTGTTCACCCCTTTCGAGCCACATTTATAAGCAGCCACACGCGCTGATTATGTAAGCTAACTATAGTCTACCTCACAGATGTGAGGGGAACTAAATTCTAATAACATCTTGACTGCTGCGGGAGCTTTTTTTTCCTCGACTTTTTAACGTCCTATAATCAGAGCGTGACCTCGATTATGAAGACGGCTCCTTGCCGCGAAAAGCTAGACAAAAATACCCAAATGTGGGGGGGGGGGGGGGATTAATAATAGGCATGCTCTACCAAAGTGTTTAGACTGTCTGGTATAACTTGCGATTGTAGTACTGACATCTCTGCTTCTTCCCTTGGTGTTCGTGCATTCAAATCTAAAGTTAAATTTAATGTTAGTTAGAATAAATATTTAATGAAATACTTTCCCGATTATTTTAGCGGTTGAATATATGCTTACAACGTGAATTCAGGATTTGTTTTCATTCACAACTCAGAGTTGCCGCCTCCAGTAAGTAAGATTCTTGTGACTTGTGTGAGTGTGATATCTCCAGGCCCTATCTGGTCCCATCTCACTTTGATTACCCTGTCAAACAAGTCAGCCTTCGCCCCTGCTTCTCATTAAGTTAGTAGAATGTTGTTCAAATCAAACACCCGTATTTATTGGGTGTTTAAGGTTCTTAGTTGCTGCAAGTATGTGACAAAAATATCTACAATTTTTGAAAAGATACAATTTATTATTATATATATTATTATATTATACTAGCTGGGCACCCTTTCGACGAAAGGAATGATCGGTGCATTAACATCAACTGAAATTCATTGGCCTACTAACTGTATTTTTACACTTCTCTGGAAATGAGCAATACATCTTGAGAGATGCAAAAACATTAGAAGGTCTAGATCTGTACTCTCAAAACAAAATACACCTCGCAGATTTTTTTGTTTCTCAGTGGAATAATCACAAAGGCCAAAGAAAGACGGGAACTTTTTGTCAAATATATTTTTCTGAATTCAGGAAATGAATAAATCAAAGAGTGGGCTTCGTCGTGGGGACCTATCTATCTTTTTGCAGCTAGGTACTTGCCAACTTTCAACTTTGTAGCTGTCGCAGTTTTATGGGAAAAGTGACACGTGTGTTTCCAAGTAGCCAAATATATTATAACAGATGGTTGGGTTTTTCCTTCCGTTCGATCGTCAAGTCATTGTGGGATCAGAGCAACCACTCTTTGTGAACGGAAGCATCATTTGTTTACAATGGCGTCTTAGAAGACGGACTTTCCCAAGTTTAGACCTAAACGAAATTAATGAAAAATTGAACATTAAACTACAGTGACTTCAGACTCCTCAGTAAAACTGAGACCCTTAAAGTGATTCTGAACCATTGTTAATTTTTTCAAATTCGAAAGTTAAGCGGTTCGGAAGTTTTAGGCTTCGAAAGTGACGAGCTTTCGCAAATATCTTATTATTATGTATAGATATAGATCTGTATATATATATATATAAATATATATAGATAGATAGATAGATAGATAGATAGATAGATAGA